GAATATTTTAATAAACGTTTGTCCCGTGCGAGACGAACTGTGGAATGTGCCTTTGGAATTCTGAGATCAAAATGGCAAATTTTAGATAAACCTATATTGACCCATCCTGGACATGCAGATAACATTATTAAGGCAATTTGCATTTTACATAATTTGAAAGAAACTCAATTTGTCTTTCAAAACGAAAATAGACAAGCACCCGCAGGAAGACTTAATAATGAAGCAAAAGTAGTACGAGATAATTTTAAAGCTTATTTATGTAATAATCCGTAAAACTTAATATGTACCATCCTTTTTATAAATAAATAAACTTATATTTACCTGTTGTATTGCATTCCTCAGCCACCTCTTTCCACAACTTCGATAATAATATCGAATTATGATGATTTCTACTATTTTTGCTCCAGATCGCCTCCCTGGTAAACACACTGGTAATTAATTTATCCTTATCCATCCCGCTAATAATTTTTAAAACAAAACAAACGACCATGTGCGAGGCTCCGAAAAATACTAAGCTCAATTTACTGTGCGATGCACCTATGTACAAGGGCGATGCGAAGCGAGGGGCGGTGCGCCGGTATGGCCGCACGCATTGAATTCAATAGTTAAATTTGCTTAGCACACGGATGCTAAGGTACAATGCTAAGTGCGGTGCGATGTGCGGTGCTTCGTTATGGCCGCCCACTTAGAGTTTGTCGCTCGAGGACACTTCTAGTAATTGATATTAAGGTGTTTAACTTATGCATTATTTTAACTTCTGCGTCTAAAAATAGCAGGCATAGATCAATATATGTGGTGTAATGAAAACTTTATGTTACCTACCTCTAGATAAAGTGTGCGATGAGTTCGATATTGGGGTGTGACACCGTGAAGATGAAGGCGTGGTATGTGCAGTGTCATCATGGACTTCCATACTACGTTCCATAGCTTAATATGGCATTTTGATATAGAAATTGCCTTTATTAAAAGGAGGCGTTTGAGTATTAATCCTTAATCTGTCCAAGTGAATAGATTTTGCTAACCCTGATGGATTAAAATTTTCTGGTACTTGCGGTAGGTCAGGGATGTTTCTTATTGATTCATCATCACTTTCATCCCATCCTCTGAATGAAATTCAGATATTGCTTTCTTCTTTCGTTTCTTATTCTTCCCCATTTTATTACCTTGACTTTCTTTATCTTCTGAAGAAAATGTGACAGAATGTCTGGAATGACGAGATCTTTTTAGAGTTTCATCGGCTGTGTCAATATTAGACATCTCCATTGCCAGTTTTAGTTTTTCTATTCCTCTTTCATATGTTGCTGTTGACACAATTTAAAAAATTTATAAAGCAGTTAGAAAAACATACCTGCTTGGCAGTATATTTTAATAACTGCGTAAATTTTCCAGGTTTAATCGGGTGATGTTTTGGACAAAACTAGTTTATTGAGTGCAGATCGATCAGATGTAACTGGCCAACTGCACGTATTATCTTCATTTAGCCAATTGTTTGGAACTAATTCAATGCCATCTCCAAATTCTACCACGGTAAAATTCATTATGTAGGTATCCTGGAAAATTAAAACATGTGTCAAGTAAAATGTGGGAACTTATGTGTTTTATTACCATCCATTAACAAACTGTGGTGTTGACAAAAAAGAACGTACAAAATAACTTTCTAAATTACATTATAAGCGTTACGGGTACCATTCGTATTTTACACATACAATGATTTGTTGGAACTGTTCAATATATTAAAAAAAATGCTCAGTGTTTGTCTCACCATCCAGGCTTTAGTAATCCAGGAGAACAAGAAAATTAGATTGTTATGAAACTTTTGTCACGTCGTCAACGTGCTCTAAGTCTTTAAAAGTTGCATAATGTAAAATGTAATTTATTCTCCCCATCCTTTTCCGTTTTTTAAGTTTTCGGTTTCGGCCTCACCGACTCTGAAAAATATGGTTTCTAAAACTTCGGCTTCACCGTTTAACATTTTTTGAGCCAAATTCATGTAGCCCGTAGGGCGAAGATTCGATTTATATTGTTCTCCGATTATTGTTCTCTATTGGTCTTGGAATCGTTGATTGGTGGTAATAATAAAGTAAAATTAATAATAACATACTAAAATAATTTTCTTGTTCAATTTCGTTTATGAGCAGTGATGAATTATGTGGTATGCAGAATAGGAAATACGACGAAAGATTCTTTATATGGCAGTAAAATGTATTTTATACATATGCTTTGAATTGAGAACATTTTTAGACTTGACATTTTTTTCACCTTATAAATTCCTAAATTACTGCTGTAGCAAGGAATTTTGTACAAATCACTTGTAGATAAAAATTTTTGACCTATTATAACCAAACGATTTGCGGACTTACAAAATGATATATTTCTAATAACAATGATTTCCCCATTTCTTAGTCCACAACAATTATTAGGAGCCTTATTAGATAATTTAAAAGTTTCAAAACAAATTTTCGCGTATTGTGGATTGCTACAATCAGATATAAGGGGTCCACTTTGATGGGGATTACACGTTTCTAATTTATCTTGATCTTGAATAATATTTATCGAAGGATTGTAACAAAATTGTTCACTAATGCGACCTACTATTTGTTCTAATGGCCTGTTATTTCCTCGAAGCAGTTCCTTCCAATTGGCTGCAGCCTGGTGGTAAATGTTACTTTCCCACTTACAGTAATATACGTTTGCAACAGGCATTGCAACGACGAGAAGAGCCTCGAAAGGAATGGCCTCTTTACGACATATTTTTATTTAGGAATAACGTTTATGGTAAATAAAGCCAATGATCAAATTAAGATTTTAGTTTTTAAATGTTGCAGATAATTTTAATGTTGCTCAAAAAAAAGCAAAAAAGGCCACAATCACATCAGATCTAGAATCGGATTCCATTATCGCAATTGTACCACCTAAAAGAAAACGAATAATAAAACATTTTTCAAGTTTTTCATCTGTTGAAGAAGAAATAGAACATGTCAGCAGTTTACCACCACATCCTCAACTTAAAGTTGGTATGTATTACATTGTTTATAATAGTACATTTATAACACCTTTTACATTTTCAGTTAAAAAGGTTGTTCAAGCCGAAGTTCATAGTGTAGATATTGATGATACAAGTCCTCCAGCTCCAGATAACTCCGACAAAGTTACCAAATTAGTAGAAAGTGATCAAAATTTGGAGGGTGTGGAATCCAATAGAGGTATGTTTATATTTGAGTTCTTTTTATACTTTATACTAATTCAAATTTTTTACTTACTTCTTACTAGCATGTAATAATTTAGTGCCACAAACGAAAGAGTACATAATAGCTATTTGGGATTTGTAATTGAAAATAACTATAAAATACAATGTTGGTTCATTGCTTCTCTATTTTAGGAATGTTGGTTAAAATACTTCATAAACAGAATATAATTATGGCTTTACTAAATGCGATGAATGAAAGGTTTGCCAACATGGAAAAAAAAATGGTACTATCAGCTGAACCTTCCGTAGAAATCTCAGATACTATTTTTACTAAATTTGACTTCCCCTTCAATGTTATTGAAGCACTAGAAGATTTTGAAACATTTATTAACAATCCAGCAGAGTTCAACAAAGTGGTGAGTTTAAATACTACATTATTAAATCCTAATACCCATAAGCATTTAGGTTCTGGAATTTTTAAGACTAGGTGGAAACGTCCCATACAATTTTGTGGCAAGGTCCATGGAAAAGTTGTTTACTAACCAACTTGCGAACAATTTTAGTTATTATGGTCGAAAACAAAAAAGACCTTTTAATAAATTAAACTTCAATAAACTAGTGATTGGTAAGTTTAGGTTGGGTTATTAAATCTTGTTGACAATATTTTTTTAGAATCTGGGTTATCTATATTTCCCACATCCTCAAGAATGGTTTTTGAGCAATCAATAGCGAAATGGTTGAGACGTGCAAAGGAGAGGAAGGACAAAAATTAATAATCAATGACTGTATTATTATAAACACATAAATAAACTATCAATATTATTGTTATTATTATTAGGCAAAATATCCATGTTACATCCCAGGTAAACCTCCATTGGATGTAGTGTACGGATGTTCAATGGAGATCCATTCTAGTGCCAAACGTACATCCACTGAACATCCATTGAATGTTTGAGGACCTAATATGTACATCCAATGGACTTTTGAAATGTCTAATGGATATATCCATTGTACGTCCATTGTACACATGTGTGTTACCTGGGGCCCCACACCACACTGTCTGTTTGCTGACATAGGCTCGTGTTGACATGATGTTCCAGTTGCAGATGGTGGGTTATAGTTGGCCCTGGTTGCAGTCGAGCGAGACATCTCAAGGAAACTTGATGCTGTCGACAAAGCTTTTCTTGAAACCTCGAGAGTGTTTGTCAGATGTGAGGTCACCAACTCCCACCCACACAGCACATAATGTCCATTGGATATCTAAACAATGTAGATAATATCCACCTGATATCCAGTCCATTTACTTTATCTAATGGATATTGTAGGGACATCTACGAAAGTCAGTATCTAATGTCATTTATCTAAAAGATATCCATATATGTATATCATGTAAAAAATTATCTTATTTATAAAGCAAATTTAAAAAAATTAAATACTAATTGTTGACATTTTAACGTAATTCAATATTATGGCTATGGTATTGGTGAAGTAGGAATGTTTATACAACAGTAAAAAGGAAATCATATACCCACACAGCACACTGACAACCATAAGATATCTAAAAAATGTTTTTTTATGGATATCCATGATATTTAATGGATATCCCCTCACATGTAATGGACGAATACTAGATATCCAGATGTCCCGCCATATACCTACATATAGATATCCATACAGTTGATCTATTAGACGTACATAATCTTTAAAATGATATCTGTTAGATGTAATATGGATCAAAAATAGCACTAACAATGTTCCACGGACATCCAGTGGATATACAGCAATGCATAGAACCACATAAAGAAATGAAAAAAATGTATGATTTATTTATTAGTTACAACTTAAAAAGCACAAAATATTCATGTGTATAAAACCAGAATAGTAATAATATAAAATATAATAGTTAAGATTAAGAAATTTATAAAAAAGAAAAACAACTTATCCTGTAGGTTCTTCTGCGCCCTTTTGTTCCCGTTTACTATAAAAAAAAATCGCGTTAACACAGACATGCTTTAAATACATGGGTATCATTCCATAGTTAATATAATATGAAACGCAATTTGGACAATAAGCTTTAATATAAGTAACTAGAAGATTTATGATAATTCAATCGGGTGGTGGATTTTGCTATGGTTACGCAATTATTGGGGCATTTGTGTCCACCGTATATTCTGTCTACCAGGTTGGAATGGTTGAATATGTTTCTAAAGATGCCTGGCACAAATTCATAGTCATCATTACATACAGGGTGCCCATTATGTATGGAATCAATATAGTAAGTATTTATTGTGGTAAATAACGACTGTGTAAAAAAATTTTTTATATAAAAGTTGTTAACATTTTATTTATCATAATAAGGCAACATTCAGTTTTTATTTCGAAAAACAAATGAGTAACAAAAACAACTTTACTAGCAATGCACGTCTTTATCAGGCTCGTTTGATATAGATTTCTTTTCTCTTTTCTATTATGTAACATGTTAGAACCCCTATGGCTAAAAATTTTCAAAAAAATTTAAATCTCTTTATTCAGTAATTACATTAATCTAGATATCCTACATAAAAACACACCAAATGAATGTCTTCTCTTATTAAACCTTAAAGACAAATTGAAATTAGCAGTAAAATCTCTATCAAATGAGCCTAATGAAAGGGCACATTGCTATTTAATAAAATTCAATTGTTTTTTGTTACTCATTTGTTTTTTTAAATAAAATCAATTGAATGCTGCCTTATTATGGAAAATAAAATGTTAAACAACTTTTATATAGACAATTCAACTCATGTATAAAAAATCGCATAAGCCGCAGTGCAATTGTCACTTTGACAGCGGCAAAAGTTACCTGCAACTTTTCCAGCGACAAATGCACTAGAGGTTTTTTCACTTATTCATTTTCGAACCAATTATCGCATTATCCTTTCCCATATGATTAGTTTGACGTTTGTCAATAATTGACTAATTTGGTGAATTTCTTGTTCGTTAAATTGTCCTGCCGAATTACACTCGAGGTTAGTATTTAAACCGAGTAAATTTGGGTTGTTGCAATTCAAATCTGTTTCCTTTTAGCAATTGAACTCGAAAAACTGTCAACCTAAAAATGCTCCACCTTCGGTGTCGCATTTTTATTAGTTAACAGTTTTTCTCGTCTAATTGCTAGGCAACAGATTTTCATTACCTTAACAACCCAAATTTACTCGGTAAAATACAAACCTCTTGTGCAATTATAAGTGAAAATTTTTTATACAGTCGGTATTTACCGAGATAAATACTATATTCTGTACATAATGGGCACCCTGTATAAAATACATATAAAGAAAATTAGTGGAAAAACTACTATTTTTATTCTGTATGTATTTTAAATACTTTAGCTATATATCTACTAGACTAATAACTTACCATTGGTTGGTATACCTCACATGTGCATGTTTTAACCAATTTTTTACAGAGTCAATCATTTCCTTCTCGGTGGTCTCACCAATTAACTTATTTTGCTTTACGGCACCTGAAACATGAAAAGCATATACTTTACTAAATGTCATTTTAATTTAAATCAATACGTAAAAAACAATCAATGTATAAAATTAGTCAACCTTACATAAAATAACCTCTGCAATCAGCAGGTTGAAAGATTGCTTCTTTTTAGCTCCTAGCCAGCTGTAGTTGGCTGCTAGTTTATTTGAAATTAGTTTTCTTAACATAATTTTGGTGATTTGATCAATTTTTAGTCCTCCTAATCGACTGCAGTAATTGATCTAAAAAAATATACACTATAACCTCTACTCTCATGTATGTATTAGACTTCTTACTAGGTATTTCTTAAAATCAGGGTTGTTGAGAAGATAAACCTCCATGTTTCTTAGATCTAATTCGGTATCCAAAGGAAACTTGCGTATTATCTCTTCAAAGTTATCATGTTTCTCCTCGTTCTTGTCATTATCTTGAAGTTGATGAGATTTCATGTTCAATTCTAGTACTGACAGTTGTTGGCCAATTTTCACTAAATGAACCCTTATAAAAGACAGCTCTTTAAACAGCTTCTCCTCAAACCCTAAAAGTTATAGATTTTAGTACTTTAAGGAAATATATAAAAATCAATACCTTCATCAGGTTTGCGTGACATTACATATGTTTGAGATTCTTGTAGTGGAAGTCTCCTTGAACTGGATGCTATAGAATACATTTTCTTAAGGACTAACATTGTAATAAACAACAGATTCCAGGAACATCTCGAGCAACGCCGAATAGTCCCTCCAGCGCCGCTCCATGAAATGATGCTGGACACTGTCCCGTGGAAGGTACCTGAAATAAAAATAAGAAAAGATCTAATGCGCTACAAAAAAGAGATTACAAAACAACCCACTTACCTGCAGGCATACGAGAACCTCCTTAACGAATATCCCTCATACCAACCTGTGTACACGGATGGGTCCAAGAACGCGTATGGGGTGGGAAGTGCTATAGTCACCGAGGGCGTAGCATACGAGTGGAGCTTGAATACAAACTCTTCGCCCATCTTTGCAGAGCAGTATGCCCTATGGCAGGCTGTGCTATACTGTTCAATGATGGAAAACAACCGATTTTTAGTTGTTACGGACTGTATGAATATCCTAAATGGGCTAAAGAAAATCTACAACACAGATCCGATGAACATCATGCTACAGTCTGCTATACATCGTATTTCGGAGCAAGGTAAATCACTCGAATTTATTTGGGTCCCTAGCCACGTTGGTATCTTTGGCAACGAACAAGCAGACCAGGCCGCTCGTAGAGCGATATCGAACCAGCAGACAGATGTAAATTTCATGGTGGCAAGTGACATCAGAAGACACCTAAAAGAGCAATATGTTGCAGAATGGCAAGAAAAATGGGCACAGGTAAATACTCACCTGTCGCAGATAAAACCTATTCCAACGACACTATACACGCTACAAGATGCTTCGAGAGAGAACAACGTGAAAATGCACCGTCTGAGGATAGGACACACTAAGGTCACACACGAACATCTGCTAAAGAATACTGTACCACGACAATGTAATCACTGCAATACGGCCATCACGGTTACCCATATTATAAGCCATTGCCCACTATACAATAATGAGCGATTGATAAACGGTATAGTGCCCAACTACATCGACAATTTTATAAACCCTGAAAATGCAATGAAGATGGTGAGATTTTTGAAAATGATTAATATATACGCTGATATATAATATGCTTAGTGAATTAAAGGGGATATGACCTTAGTAGTTGAACCCTACCAAAAAAAAAAAAAAATATATACCTTCATCATTTCTACTAGATGGCGTGGAACACTGTGAGCGTGGCATTACATGTGCTTGAGATTCTTGTAGTAGAAGTCTCCTTGAACTGGATGCTATAGAATACATTTTCTTAAGGACTAACATTCTAACAAAAAAACACAATACCTGAAACTTCAGTTGAATCATTCTTCCGAATATCTTGAGGTAGATCAGGAAATTCTGATATGTTTAAAACGCCAACTTGAGAATCCTCCTCTTCTTCTTCACTAGACGAAATAATCTTTTTTTTTACGCCTCCGATTTTCTTTGGATAATTCATGATCTGTATTCAAATCAGAGTGTTCCTCTGCTATTATTAGTTTTCGCCTTGCGGTTTCATATGAGGCTAGAATGAAATCATTAGCATTGAATACAGAGATATGTAGGTAGTTAAAAAAAACGAAAATCCATTTAAATAGCAATGAAATTATAAAACACTTACAAAAAGTTCCTAAAACGCGCATTTCATAAAGGGACCATCCTTCATTTGGCGGCTCCCTGCTTTTAACCGCTTTTTCGTACCGTGTGGTACTAGTAAACGTGGGCCAATAGCAACTGTTTCCCACAATCCAATCAGTAGGAACCAACTGTAGCCCGTCTTCGAATAACACTACAGACCATTGGCTCTCCATTTTTTAAATATTCTATAATTATAATAATATCTAAGTTGTTCTAAAGACAAATGGCAATTTACAGAACATTACCAACATAAAAATACAAAATGAACATAGTGAAAAGAACACTGAATTTATGAAATACAAAACGTCACCTACTGCTACTGCATTAAGAGTACTATACCGCCCTCAGTAGCAAAAGCACATGAAGTGAAAAGAATTCATATGATGTATGTTGTACGTAACAAATGCAAACCGAGCGAATCTATCTAGTGTGCTTATCAGAAAGGTAGTAAAACATTTCTAAATAAGAGTTTATTCATAAATAAAATATGGTATAAGGGTTTCACATAGATACTGCATTTGTGCAACTGAAGGCAGCATAACTATATACAGGATATCTACAACAGGTGTTTTTCTGATTGCTTTTCAATATTGGATGACAAATTATTCTAAACAAAATTTATGTGCAGAACAAGTAAAATAAAGGGTCCTATTTATAAATTTAAAATTGTTATCGGCATGGAGAAGTGGGTATACAGCATACCCATTTTTAAATGGTATTTGAACATATTTATATTTTATCTCGGACACGGACCAAATTTCTAATTTATCTGACACACTTTCTACATAATATATATTGATAAGTGAAGAGGGGCAAGGTTTAACATAGACATCCGACTGTTTTTTAAAACGTTTCCCAATAACCATCATAACTTCCTGAATTATTACAAAATTACATACAAGTATCACTGAATCATTAATTTTACAACAATTATTTGGCATAGTTATACTAAGGCACCACTCAGGTGTGTATAATTCTTTAAACTGTACTTCATTTGTTAATCCCTGTGTAAGAGGCCCACCATCATATTTATTTTTAAATGTCCAGTTCATGTTTTGAGATGTTTCTAATGATAAGATATCAGTAGAAAATTGCTCCATATATCTCCGATGTAATTGTTGCAATGGTTTATCTGCTTTCCTTAATTTCATTTTTAACTGGCGCATATAGTTTTCAAAAGGAAATGCACTATATGAATCCAAAGTCCCTAAGTTTTTTGCATCATCGGTAATATGAAGCAGTCCATGAACATTATGGGAAATTAAACATTTGCCATAAATTTTTTGAAAAGAACTTACAACGTGCTGCAGTAACAACCCAGCATAATCTGAATAATTTTCTAATAGTTGACTATTGCATAAAATTCTAATGGCTACATGCAAAGTAAGAAAATTAAAATACATCGAAGAGTTCATTGTGTCACTGAGAGCAGATGGTGACAAATACAAAAGAAATAGTCTTAATTCCGTTGCTTTCCATTGTGATACAGATGAAATTTCGCGAGGCCTACGAGGAAATTCCTTCGGGATATGGTTTCGGTATTGCAACATTTTGTCAGAAATTACACTTGTTTGTTTATGTGATAATCTAAATTTTAATGATCCACTTTGCCACAATGATACCATTTTTTTTACAACACCAATGCACACAAGGTGCATATAATCCAAGGGTACATTGGTGATAGGACCAAAATTTGGAATTGATGTCATAATTGAGACACCAGTATGATGAGCCTCATCTGATTGATTAATAAAATCTCTGTCTGTTCTCAATTGGGAATTAATTTGAGGAAAACATAAACGATTTTCCAAGTATTCGCCCTCTTGAATGCATTTTGTACAACTGGAGTATCCACTGTGGCCTTTTGTTTTTAAAACAAAACTTTTCGCGGGTGCATCACATATCAAACTATGCATAGAAACTGAAAATGTTACTCCAAAACATTCAATTCCTTCGGTAATTAATACTTTCATTTCTTCAACAAAATTTTCTAAAAATTCATTTGCATCGACTGGCTTGGAGAGACCGTGGTAAATTCCAATAATAAAGATAATATTGATAGAGTTGATACAACCTAGGATAGGCCACAGTTGACTATTATTACTGTCGGAAATCGGTAATCCATCTATATTTATTTTTAATGCTATGGATTTTTTATCGCCCTTAAATTTGGTACTTTTAAAAGTATTTAATATTCCATTACGCACACCAAAATGAAGATAATTCCCAGGTTTAACTGGTCGAATAACAGTAGATCGAGGGGTTTTTAATAGCGTTCGAGAGTCACTGGGCAATTCATCAGATTTAATGTTATGCTTCAACAGTATTTTCATTAACTCAGACAGTGCAGAATGAGGAATCTTGTTTTTTATCGCCCATAATCTTAAATCGTTTGCAAACGATGGAGTACGTTGTAAACTATCAGACAAAACATCAGCCATATTGAACGAATCATTTAATGCATTAACGTCATCGTCGAGGTCATCGTTCTTACATTCGGAAGGAAAAGTTGTTTCATCGTTACCTGATTCAATAAAGCATTCACTTCTGGTATCGAAAGGTATTTCATTATTAAATGGTTCATCGGGTTCATCATTACTACTACCGGCAGGGTTAATATCAATCTGCTTATCAACATTTATTCGTTCGGAATTTGATGTGTCATGTTTTTTGGATAGATTACTAATTATACGATTAATTTGTCGGGTTGAAATGCTCAAAAGGCATTTGTCTGTTAATTCTTTAGACATGATCAGAATCTAAAACAAAGGCCAAGAATATACCTCCACTAACCAATTTTGTATAACCTATTACCACAATTACTTACTTCTATGGCAATTTCCACTGGCCTGTGGTTAAACCGAGTGAATTATCATTAAAGCCCTAATGCTAAATAACATGGTAGGTACATACATACCTAGTGTCAAATCCAGCGAAGTAGGTATCTAGCTTGAAACCTTATAAATTAAAAAACGCAGAAGAGCCTCCACAATCAAAATTGGGATTGTAATATCTGTCTAAGGTAGGTATCTGAAATAAAACATACACACTTAACCTCAATTATTTAGCGGGCGGGCTATAGGTACTGTACTTACCACTAAACAGAGGATTGGTTATCGTTATCACGGGCCAAGTAAAAACCACGTAAAAACACTGGCAAGCACGTAACAGATAACGAAGGAAATATATCTTAATAATTGTAAACACAAACCAAACGCGTTAACTAACAAACGTGACGTGCGCTGTGCAATGTGCACATAATGCTAATTTAAGGTTATGCGCATACAGGGTGTGGGCAAGTAAGTTTACAGTGATTGGTCAAAACAAAAACAAGCGCGAAAGATGTGTTCATAAATCCACATGAAGGCGTTTGAAATCCATATGGCATGTCCATTTAACATCCACACAATATCCATAATACCACGTATCTTATATGCTGTTTCTTTTTCTAATTAATGTAATTTTATGCAATGCACATTATTGCACTTTAAGAATACATTTAAAATAATTTACAAATATTTTACTTACAATTGTAATTATCCACGATAGATATTTAATGTATATTCATTAGATATTCGTTTTGGATTGGATGTATTATAGACGTGCAAGATAACTAATGGATGTTCATTAGATGGTGTGTGCTGTGTGGGTAGATATCTTATGGATAATCGGTAATCTAAAATTGTGTGTAGGTACTTTTATCTGACTGTTATATTATATTTTCGAATAAGTACCTATAGTACGTACTAGATATTTCTATACTTTGAATTTTGTTTTGCTCGCATACTGTTCCTTTTACATGATTTTCAAGTGTAAACAAAGGTTCTATCGATCAAGGTAATTGCTAATAGGGAATTATTGTAGTAACCAACATGGTGGATTGGTGTTTTTCGTGGGTTGGTTACAGTGATGTCACTCTCACTTGTCAAATGTCAAACGTAAAATTAAAATTGTGGTTATTGGTTAATTTTGGCGGTTGTTGCTTAACTTTTTTCTGCGAAATATTGTTTGTGTGAGGAAAAAGGCTGTTGGTGTGTGCTTAAAAAGGTATGCAGATGGTTTATTAATTTTTTCTACACATATTTATAAAAGATTAGTTATGTGCATTTAGATTCTAAACACGTATAGGTATAACGATTGATTTGGATTTTTAAGAGGCGTTGCTTTAAGGAAGTGTTGTGAATGTACTTGCTATACGTGAATAAGTATGCTTTAGCAAAAATGTCAAGTTTAGAACGAAAAACAAAGCATATTGTGGATGCCTCGCCACGCCATATAAGGAGGTTAATTCATCGCCAAGCTGCTAGTGTTACTTTGTTAACTCGAAGTAGTTCGTGTCATAACATAAGTAAAAATCTTGATAATTCAGTTAACCATAGTCAGGCATGTTTCTCTAAATCTATTGACAATGTTAACTCGTACAGCGATGGTTAAAGTGACGACGAGAATACAAATAATAGTGAGTCAAGTGGTGACGAATCTGTACACCATGATTCCATTACCTTTCATAATTGCTCACCACAACCACAGGATGATTGTGAAGAAATTAATCAAGATAATAACAGCAGTTTTATCATGTTTAAAAGTGGACTTGTTTCATGGTGTACAAGACATCACATTTCACACGTTGCTGTAGCAGATTTATTGCAATTACTACAAAAATTGCCAAACCTTTCAATGCTTCCTAAAGACCCAAGAACATTATTGAAAACTCCACGCAGTACAGACATTCGTATGGTTCCTCCTGGTGCTTACTATCACTTTGGCGTTAAATTGGGTATTTTAAATACTGTTACAAAATGTTTCACGGTGTACAAGTTTTCTGAAGTAAAATTAAAAATTGGGATAGATGGCTTACCACTCTCAAGCAGTAGTAGTAGCCAGTTGTGGCCCATTTTAGGATGTGTATACCCTACCCAGCAAACATGCATATAAATGATATATAGCATGCGAAGCTCAATCATATTACACTCGTTATATAACGATTTTCTGTACATGTTACATAACATTTATTTTGAAATGTATCACACATCCTTTGAGAACATATTCACGGTATATATTACTATACAACTTTTATGATACATTGCAACTTGAACATATGCGATATATCGCAAATACAATCTACATTCACAAGTTTAAATTAATAACACTAAGCACATGCGCAAAGGCACGGTGAATTGTGCACATGTAAAGTCCCTAGATTACTTCCAGGGACTTTATGCACATGCACACGCTTCCGAAAATTTGATGCAATTAGGGTGGTTTTAATAAAAGTTTAATTTGTGTTTATTATTATAATATATATACAAACAGTTCTGTGGTGAAGTTTTAGTTTTTGGCGTGCTACCCAGCGACATGTAAGTACCTAGAAAGTTTTTATATTTGATTAAAATTTGTACATTAAAGCGATCTTAACCTAACTTTATATGCACTTCATGTACGATTCTTTTTAACATATTTCATTAGGGCGACGCTCAAAAATACACTTTGTGGTTTGTTTAGTAACCGACGTTCACAAGTTTGCAAAGGTATATTAAATGAGTAACCTGGCACTTACCTAAACCTTGCGATAGTTACCGCATCACTGATCGTCAATTAATATTTGTTCGTAGCAAGTTTTTGGACCTTACACAACAAAACAAAATGAAAAGAAGCAGAAAAGATTTTACTTATCTATCCAACCGGCAGAAACGAAGGGTAGTTTTGCAAAATGCTGCGATACTTGAAACGACCAATGGCTCCGATCATGCAAGCAAAGAATCTACAGTCACTGCAGAGGAAATTAGTGTTTGCAATAGCACTGAAACTAACGAACCAGATTGTGAGTGGAACACAATCACATTTTTGAAAAGAGCTCGTCAAAATAACATCGAGGAAGGCTCGGAGGAAGGTTACAGCTACAATCAACCATCAGATTTAAGTATGAATGACAGAGAAAGCGGTGGTGGTTGGTCTGAAGATATCCATCGAGATAATTTTCATGATTGCTTGCGTGAAATAATAGTGAAGCATAACGTTTCACACAGTTTTGTAAATGATCTACTACATTTATTGAAAATGAATGGACATCCAGAATTACCTAAAGACGTCAGAACATTAATGTGCACTCCTAAAAATACAAGTGCTAGCATTATTACATTAAGCGGAGGCAGATATGTTCATTTAGGTTTAGCCAATGGAATTTGTAATAACATTAAACAACATTTTACAACATTGCCTAATGAAATTAAATTAAATATTAACATTGATGGATTGCCAATCTCAAAAAGTTCCACAAGTCAATTTTGGCCAATTTTAGCTGCCATTTATTCAGAGTATTATACAGAGCCATTCGTTATAGGTGTCTTTCACGGAATGAAGAAACCTGATGACAGTAACGTATTCCTAAAACCATTTGTAGATGAACTGAAATCAATTTTTCAAAGTGGGAGCATTATCATAAAGGGGAAAATAATTCCAATTAAAATTAATGCCATTATTTGCGATGCCCCTGCAAAGGCTTTTATTAGTGGCATTAAAAACCACAGTGGATATTTTGCATGCTCTAAATGCATCATTGAAGGAGATTTTGTGGAAAATCGAGTAATATTTAACGAAACAAACTGTCGGCTGAGAACAGATTTATCTTTTACCAACCGTGAACAGCCATCAGAACATCATCGATATTCATCAATATTGGAAGATCTTAACATCGGAATGGTATCTCAAATTGTTTTAGACTGTATGCATTTGGTGTATTTAGGAGTTACGAAAAGGCTTATTCAATTTTGGGTGAATGGTCGAATCCATATAAGATTAAAACCACAACTATTAAAACAAGCATCCGATATGCTTTTGTCAATTAAAAGCAGTATTCCTATAGAATTTGTAAGAAAACCTAGAAGCCTTTATGAAGTTGACAGGTGGAAGGCAACAGAGTATCGGCAGTTTCTGTTATATACAGGACCAGTAATTTTAAGAAATATTTTACATAAGAAAATGTATCGTCATTTTTTGTGTCTAAGCGTAGCACTCCGAATCATATCCGACAAAGAGTACTGTCAGAAATTGGTTGATTACGCCGAAAGTTTGTTAGTGTATTTCGTCCAAAAGTATGCTTACTTTTATGGAGAAGAACATTTATCTTATAATGTACATAACCTCATTCACATTTGTGATGAGGTTAGACATTACGGTTCTGTAGAAGGTTTCAGTGCCTTCAAATTGAATCTTTTATGTACAAATTAAAAATGAAGTTAAAAGTTGCCGGTAAACCTTTAGAGCAAATTGTGAATCGTTTAAGTGAAAGGGATAACACTAATTCTTTCCAGTGTATCGATCAGACATTTCCATTAGTGGATTATAAAAATATTAATGACATAAAAGTAGACTTTGGATCATTTGTATTAACTAAAAATGCTCCAAACAATTGTTGCATTTTGAAAGATGGTGGAATATTTGAGATAAATGACATAGTTTTGCACAAAACCTCACAACACAACGAAGTGCATTTTGCCGGGCTTCTGTATTCTAAAAAAGTGTCATTATTTACATCTCCCTGTGATTCACAGGAAATTGGTATTTGTGTACTTTGTATAGAAGAAGCTTCTAAAGTAGTAAACATTACTATAAATGATGTTAGGAAAAAGTGTATGTTTATAAAGTTACCCCAATCTAGTGACATTCTTTCGATTACATTACTACATTAGTTATATTTTACACACATTTTTTTAACTTTATATACATATAGAGATAACGATTAGTTTAGTAAAGTAATAACTACCTACTTGTTTAGATAGATATCTATTATTTTTTGTATATTTATTTTATATATATATATATATATATATATATATATATATATAAAATTTACTTTGCATTTGTTAAGGGCATCTCAATGCGAACCGTTTGCAGTAGTGATTTTTGAAGACCAAAGCTGTTCAGAAATTCCTACTACGTGGTTAAGGCCTGATCGAAAGAAGTGTTTGTGGCCTCCCAATGTTAAGAATGTGTCGTTCATAATGGCAAAGGGGGTTCAACCAGATGAATCTTGGAATGAATTTGACATTACGGTGGAAGCATATTGTTGTAAGTAGGTATACATATACAGTGTGTCTAGCTAAGTTCGCGACAAAGGGAAAACTTTTTTATTCTTGGGTTTATGAAAAAAGTTATTCTTTATAAAAAGTCCTGCTTCATCCAAAACTTAAATTGAAATTGTCAGATTTTAATATTTGTTAGTCATATGTATACTATATTATATCATGCCTTTAAAACCCTTCTAATTGTTTGTGGAATTATTTTACGGATTTCTTCTCTAATTACACGTTCTAGATGGCCTACATCCGTAAACGGCGCTTGAATATTAACATTTTCTTTTAAATAACCCCACAAGAAAAAATCAAGTGGGGTCAGATCTGGAGACCGAGGTGGCCAACGTATTTCATATTTTTTGTCATATCTCATGTACTTATGACTAACAAATATTAAAATCTGACAATTTGAATATAAGTTTTGGATGAAGCAGGACTTTTTATAAAGAATAACTTTTTTTCATAAACCCAAGAATAAAAAACTTTTCCATTTGTCGCAAACTTAGCTAGACACACATTTTGTGAGTAGCGTTATAAATAATTGTATGAAGGCATATCATTTGTAAAATTTTGTAACTGTTTAAACTCAAAAATTAACTATAAACAGACTTTCTAGTATACAACATTAATATGTTTAAAAACTAAATTTCGACGAAATTTATTATTTTAGAATTTAAATAATGATCACAGGTAGCCTTTCTGTGCCTTTGTACAGGGTTCCCCGTATTAGACTGATCATTTTGTTACTGGCACAAAATCCTTTATTTCATTAATATGCAGCCAATTCTATGGAAATTATTCATAGAGTAAACATGTAATCAATTTTAAAAAATCATGTCTTCCAAATGCCCTCCATCAGCTTGAATACATCTTTCAAGTCTAGAGGCAAAACTGTTCATCATTCCCATAAAATTGGCTGTATATTAATGCAATAAAGGATTTTTTTACTTAAGTTAGAAAAATTGTATGCCAGTAACAAAATGATCAGTCTAATATGGAGAACCCTGTATACTTCACTAGCACTCTCACAAGTTACCTTATACTTATCAGGTAAAACTTAAAAACTTCTTTATTTGCAGCATCTTTAAAAAAGGCCAGGAAAAAAGCTGAAGACCGGGATTATACATCGGCAGATGAAAAAGCCTTAGGACGAGGAAAAAGATCTAAGGCTATTACTCATCCTTGTAATACAGATTCTAGTTCTGATTCTAGAGGTAAATAT